CTCTTCCTCCTGTCCGAGGTTTTCATTGTTGTGAGCATTTCTGTTGAGGATTGGCAGTGGGGGTGGGGTGGGGGGTGTTTGGTTTTTATTCCCCCCGTCTGCTGGGTGGTTGCAGCAGGTTTTGGTCACTTCACATGACCCTGGGACACTGTGACCGTCATAAATATGAATCAGTTGCCAAGCATCTGAATGTAAATCATAAGACACTGGAGATGCTGCAACATTCCAGCTGATCGGCACTTCTTCTGGGCTCAGTGGAAGCGCCAGGATCAGCGCTGCCTGGCGCTGAGCTCCAGCTGGAGCCTGGCACTGATCCTGGAGCTTCCGCTGAGCCCTGACAGCCCTGCAGTTCCAGCCGTCTCTCGCTCAGGCTTGTGTGGTGCTGCCACCGGTTCAGCTCATTCCCCTCCCCCGCTACCATTTTTCTAGGATGGTCGTGTACCATCTGCCAGGTGCCAATGTACCACAGGTGGTCCCCGTACCACTGGTTGAAAAGCCCTGGCTTAATGGACCTGCATGAGCTGGCGGTGGCAGCAGGTGTGCCCACAGAGACGGCTCTGAGTGCCGTCTCTGGCATGCATGCCATAGGTTCACCATCACTGGTCTAGGTAGTCCTTGACTTAAAACAGTTCATTTAGTGACCGTCCAAAGTTACAATGGCACTGAAAAAAGTGACTTATGACCATTTTTCACACTTACGACCATTGCAGCATCTCCCACAGTCACGTGATCAGAATTCAGATGCTTGGCAACTGACTCATATTTATGACAGTTGCAGTGTCCCAGGGTCATGTGATCCCTTTTTACGCCCTTCTGACAAGCAAAATCAGTGGGGATGCCAGGTTCACTTAACAACTGCAGTGATTCAGTTAACTATGGCAAGAGAGTTATAAAATGGGGCAAAACTCAATTTACAATGGTCTCATTTAGCAATAGAAAGGTTGCTGGTTGTGGTTGTGGTTGTAAGTTGAGGTTGTAAGTTGAGGACTACCTGTAAACAGCATCCTTTTCTTGACCTTGAGCCACAACCTCCAAACTCTGATACAAAAATAATGGGATGTAATTTTCTGGAGTTTGATGCGTCCTTGTATTTTAGGTTGTCAAAATGGGGGGGAAATAATTTCATAAAACATTAAACACAAATTTAAATCTCTCAGCAACTGAGATCTGCAAAAACTTATTAGTCAATAAGAAATCAAATTATATCAGGTTGGTTCATGCATTGCGTTGAGACATGATATGACTTGCTTAGTTACAGCTTAGTGAGATCCATGAACCCCTATCATGGCATGTAAACAGCCATTATGGTATGTAAACCAGCCATCATGGCATGTAAACCAGCCATCATGGCATGTAAACCAAGGTTTAGAGTTTATTGCTAAGTTGAAACAAGGATAGAATGGGTTGGTCAAACCATGATTAAAAGTAACAGTGACTTAGCACAATGTTAAAGCTAGCACCTGATTGATAGGGATTGTCCTGGATTGCTAATTTGGAGATGCGAAGCATTGAATTTAAGTTATTCCTCATGCATTTTTTATTTTTTTTATTTTCCCCTCTCACTTTTTGGCAGCCTGTGATGTCTGGCACTTAGTAGGTGTGGTCCTTTGGGGGCTATTTTCTTCCAAGGTTACTCTACCTCCAAAACAGGTGCAGTAGTTAAATTTTGAGTCTGAATATTCTCAGATAATTTTCCCAGCACTCGGAGAATTCAGATTTTTTTTTGTGCTTGTGTTCTTACTAACAGAGATGCCAAATGGTAGGACAGCTGGGCCTGTTCTTGTTGAGAACAAGCACATTTGTTGAAATTCTACCTCCCAGGTTCACAGGGAAAGGAGAAAACAATGGATGTTTCTTGGCCTTTTTATTTCTTGACTTTAAAAAAATGGTTTACAGGTAGTCCTTGATTTACAACAGTTCATTTA